CTTGGGATACAGGAATCCTCACTACCCATAACCCTCTGATACTCCTCCCCAGCCAAGTTCTGACATTTTCTTTGACAGTCTGTGGTTTGTAACTGCTCTTCTGGTGTCAGTTTCTGACGTGGAAATAACCTGCTTGCCCAGAACAGGAACTCGCTCAAGTTAGCTTAAAGAAATGGGGATCTGTATAGATTGGATTTTCACAATTGCACAATTGCAGAGTGGAAAAGTAATCATGTCACCACTTTCTCCACCTCTGGGGTTGCAGAATCAACTCCTGTGCTGCTTCTCTGTGCTTGTCTGATCCCTGGGACCGCATTCTGGCATCCTCTAAAAGACACTTGGCTTCTATAAAGCACACAGTTCTGCTCCCTGACAACCAGGACCAGGGCTTGGCTGTGGCCTTGGCCCCAACTCCAAATAACCCACTGTTTTCTTACCCAACACCACCCTGACTATGGAATCTGCCTCTCAGTTCAGATTCTCTAGTGTGAGAACCTGTTTGGTTCAGGATAGGTCTGGTGTCCCCTCCTGCTCCAATCATATACAGCCTAGGTGGGAACAGGGGTGTGTTGCCGTATACATGGCTGCTCAGGCCCACCAGATACTAGGGTTGGGGAGGGAGACATATACTAAGAAGCTACGGTGCTTCTGGGGTGTGGAATGCTAGTGCTCTGGAACACAAAGGGGGTCATCAAAATAAGTCTCTCCTTGTCAATCTATACCATCTCCAGTTCCTACCCGCCTCCCTTCCACTCCCTTAGCCCCATTTTCCCATTCATGCCCTACCCCCACTCTACCCAGTTCCCTCCCTTACCCTCCCACTTTGAAAATTGATTTCCCATTGGTTTATGTTTTTGTTATATTTCACATTTCTAAATTTACTGAGGGCTTTGCAGCCAGATTCCCCTCCCACAGCGGAAGCAAATTTCCCTCCGTGAAAAATTCACAGCTTTACACCAAGGGCAGTCCCAATCCCCAGGCCTTCGAAATATGGGAGGTCTTCTCTGCTGATGGGGTTCGGAGTCTCTCCTGTCTCTTTGGGATTCTTGAGGGTCTGTTCCCTGGGACCCCACATCAGAACACAAGCTAACATCAGAGGGCTTCCTGTTGGGAGATGTCGGAGATGGAGCTCCTGCTGTGCATGTTGCTTCTGGTGGGGATGGTGTGGGCACAGGTGGGAAGGGGGATGAGGGGCATGAGTAGGAGTATGTGAATGAGGCAGGGAGCTGGATAGGAAGGGGTGATGGTGAGACTATGGACCCAGGCTTGAGGGTCCCAGAGAAATAAAACATGGTGATTTCCACTGACCTGAGATCTCCCTCCCTCTGGCTACCAGTGGTGTAGTTTTTCTGCTCCACGGCTCCGACCAGGTGCAGGAGGCCTCTGCCCAGCTCCTTTGTGGCTTCAGCCCCTAATGCATACTTCTGTCTTCTTTTTCCTTTTCCTGTGGCACCAGCAGGAGCAGCTTGGGACTCTACCTCCTTGCGTGTTTCTTCTGTCCCAGCCCCACTGGCAGTGGCCGGGCCTGGCCCCTCTGAGGCCTGGCCCTGCTCCCTGGTAGACCCCAGCTGTTGGAGAGAAGAGGGCAGGGTCGAGACCCAGTCTGAGCAGGGAGAGGGCAGGGCGATGGGGTGGGGACCAAGTAGAGATAATCTTACAACCTGGAAGAGCTTCCACTTCAGGAGGTCCCGTTCCTTCTGCATCTCTGCCAGGTTTGCTTGTGTCTGCCGCAGCCGGAATGCTGCCTCCTTGCGCTCCATCTCCTGCCGTGCTGTGTGCTCCTTTAGGTCCGAGGCCAAGGCCTGTGCAGCGGACTTATGCAGTTTGGCAAAATCGTGCAGCCACTGTACCCTGTGCTTGTGTAACTGGCCCTGCCTGCGCGCAAAACGCACACCCAGGGCAAGGCTGCTCCAGGCACAGGCATCTTTGACCTCGCTGGGCACCGCGCTATCCTCTAGGATGTCCCCGAGCTTGTTCTCCACCTCCTCCCAGGACAGGGCTATATTCTCGAGATAGAACTCAGGGCCTTTTGTGTGCCCGGCCATCTTCTCATTGATGAAGGCCACCACATTATTGTGCTGGAACCCACTGCTGGCATCATCCGGTTTCAAGGACATGACTACTGAGCCCCTTAGGGATTTGGCTGTCCCTGTGGGATGAATCAACCAGTTGTCCACTCTGCAGGGGCCATCCCCATCCTTCACGCCTTCCCGCCCCCCTGCCCCCCATCTCCCCCCATGCTCGCTGCCTGCCCCCTGCCCCCCCCACCATCCCCTGCCCCCTCACCCTTGCCCCCTGCTTCCCCCGCCTCCTGCTTCCCTCGCCTCCTGCTTCCCCTCTGGCCCCCCACCTTCCCACCTCCAGCCCTTCCCAGCCCTCCCCCGTGCCCCCTTCCCAACAGGCCACCCCTAGTCTCCTCCTACCTGCTGCCCTGCCCTTTCCTCTCCGGCCTCAGACCCTCTTAAAGGCCCCCTGACTGGCTTGCCCCACCCTAGTACACCTCCCACCAAATCTCACCTCTAAGGTGGGGATGGGGGGGTTGGGGGGTGGGGGGGCAGAGAGGGTGCTGGCTAACCACGCCAACCGACTAAGCCCAAAGTGAGAGCACACGGTTCCCTCCAAAGACTCCAGGGGGAGAAAAGGAAGTCTTGGGGCCAACCCTCGAGGCTTTTACTCTAGGACTGTTCCAGCTTCCGGAGATAGTGGGGGTGGGAGGGAATTTATGAGGAAGGTTCCTCCCAAACTCCAGGACAAAAGAGAACCTGCTACATTGCTGAAAGTCGTTGAAGGTGGGAAACAACAGCAGTGGTTAGAAAAGATTTAGAATCTGAAACATGAAGTACTCATAATTAAGTACAGGAAGTTCCGCCCCTCTCCATAATGGTTTGTCCCATGCCAGGGGGCCCTTGCCTCATAGAGATGGAATGTCCTAGAACTCGAAGCAGCTCCAATCCTTCACTGGCTTTCCGTAACCCTCGGAGGAAGTGGGTGGAGCCTGGGAACAGCTTCGTCACCCATTGGCTCAGCACTGAATATTATAGTCACCCTAAACAATCTTAAATTCTGGCCATTTTACCCCGAAAGCATGTCTCAAATCTGTCCGCCTTCACACGCCCTCAATCCTAATCCAGCTCCCCCTGGTGTATATATCCCCTGGACCACTGCAGCCCTCTGATAACCTAGTCTGTCTCCTGCCTACCCTAACATCAGAGGGATCTGAGCATGTCAGTTTAAACCTCCAATGGCTTTCTGAAGACTACTGGAAAAACCAGACAGACTTAAGATTTAGTCCTACTTTGCCACTTGCTAGATGACCTTCTACTATGTAATTGAATATTAGTTTCTACCTATGGGCCTGCCATGAGGACTGAATGACAAAGTGCATATAAAGTTGATGTAATGTTTTCTATGATTGCATTTTTGTAAAAAATACAAATTCTCTGTGGGTGTGTGTGTTTCTATGCTCTTGAAGTGAGGAGGGGGAGAGTATACACTAGATTTTTAACATTGGTTATCTCTGGGAGGTGGAATTGGAGAGGAGTTTGGAAAAAATTTTTCTTTTTAAAATATATCTTTCTAGGGCGCCTGGGTGGCTCAGTTGGTCAAGCAGCTGCCTTCAGCTCAGGTCATGATCCCGGAGTCCTGGGATGGAGTCCTGCATGGGGCTCCCAGCTCCACGGGGAGTCTGCTGCTTCTTCTGACCTTCTCGCCTCTCATGCTCTCTCACGGACTCTCTCTCTCAAATAAATAAAATCTTAAAATAAAATACATCTTTCTATGATTTCATTTGTTACAAAGAACATTTACTTCTATATGCATGCATGCATTAAAAATCTGGAAAGTCACATACCAAAATGTTAACAGTGGTTATTTTGGGATGGTAAGAATATAGTACTTTAAAAAACTTTGTATTTTTCTCTATTGTAGTAATTATTTATAATAATCATGTGTTTTTTTAAAAAGTTTAAACTATTTTTTATAACTTGTGATCAGTGTAAATAATTTTTAAATATCTATAATGTGAATGTGTCCCTATAATCTCACTGTTCCATAACATAGAAGATAACTAATATTAATAGTTTGAGATATATATAAATATATATAAATAAATATGTATATAAATATATATATATATTTCTCCTTCTAGTCTTTTAATATAGGCCATAGCAAATGCAGTTGACCCTTGAACAACACAGGATTTGAACTGTGTGGATTTTTTAAAAATAAATTCAGTACAGTACTATAAATATATTTTCTCTTCATTATAATTTTAATTAAAAAATGTTCTTTTCTCTAGCTTATTTTATTGTAAGATACAGTAGGTAATACATATAACATACAAATATGTGTTAGTTGATTATTTTATTGTTAAAGCTTCCGGTCAACAGTAGGCTATTAGTTGTTAAGTTTTGGGGAAATCAGAAGTTATAGGCAGATTTTCAACTGTGTGGAGGCCGGAACCCCTAGCCCCCTGAGTTGTTCAAGGGTCAGCTGTAATTGGCAGTTTCTCAAACAAAGAATCCTCTCACTTGTCTTCTGGCCTTTGCCCAGGCTGCTCCATAAGTGGATTGTCCCTGTGCTCCTCCTGTTATCCTTGCTCCCATTCTTTTCATCCACCTGTTCAATCCCTCTTCCCCTTTCACAACAGCACTCAAGTATTTCTTTCTCTTGTATTTCTTGGTCCTCCAGCTCCCACCCCAAGCTGGGCTGAATTGTGCCACCTTTTTGTGTCCCCATGATACCTTGTGCATTCCGCTTGCAGTACTTTTCAAGGCCAGGTCTGGGTCTTAATTATTTTTGTGTTTTCAGCATCTGGCACAGTGGTAAGCACCCAATGACTGAAAGAATTCACTACATTAGTAAGGTACAGATACCTATTTTCTTTCTTCTCTAAAATGTCTTTTTCTCCACACGTACTGATTTTCTGCCACTTCACAGCTTCTTGTGGTAGGGATCTCTCTTCAGTATTTGAAACTAACCAGTATTTGACAGATTTGGAGTTTGTAAAAAAAAAAAAAAACAAACCTTGGAAGATTCAGGAACAAAGCTTCTGTGTGAAGGATTAAAACAGCCAAACTGTATCTTATGGACATTGAGGTAACTGATAGCAGGAGAATTTGTTGCCTGTGTTCGTATCATTTTTGGTCAATTTCTGTTTGCATGGGGAAAGAGCAATGATAATGATAATGATAATGATAATGAAGTCATTCTTCTCTTCTCTGAAGGTTGTACCGATGCCTTATCTCTCCTGCTTCTTGTGGGGTACAGGCAGCTATTCTCAGTACCAGTCAGTGGCTCACTGATCTGGAATTTAGTGAAACCAAATTGGAAGCTTCAGCTTTGAAATTGCTTTGTGAAGGCTTAAAAGATCCAAACTGCAAATCATGGAAGCTCAAGTAAGTTGTAACTATTAGTTTCCTTGCTGCAAGAAAAAAAATTTAAATATGCAACTCAAGATGGATGTTGTGTGATCAAAACACATTTCAAGGAATCATGAAGAGGAAGAATAAAAGTGACAGTCCCTAAAATTGTTCTTATGCAAGAAGTTTAGGATAAGAATTTTCATTGTAAGTGACAATAACAGCAATGGCTATAATAATAACCCACACTTACTGAACAATCACTTTGTGCTAAGCATTGTGCTGACTGCTTTGTATCTATGATTTCCTTTAATTGTACAACAGTTCTGAGAAGTTTCAGATTATTATCTCCATTTTAGCAATGAGGAAATAGGGATCCAAGGTCACAAGACCAAGTAACATGGCAAAGGCACAGTTCAGAACCCTCATGTATCTGACTTCAAAGTCCATGATAATGATTTTAATAAAAAAGTTTATCTTATAAACTTTTTAAAAAAGATTTTATTTATTTATTTGACACAGAGAGAGATGATCACAAGTAGGCAGAGAGGCAGGCAGAGAGAGATAGGGGGAATCAGGTTCCCTGCTGAGCAGAGAGCCCTATGTGGGACTCGATCCCAGGACCCCAAGACCATGACCTGAGCTGAAGGCAGAGGCTTAGCCCACTGAGCCACCCAGGCGCCCTATCTTATAAACTTTTAGATTTTAGTATTAGGGTTCTCCAGAGAAACAGAACAAATAAGATGTATCTGAATATACAGGTGACCCTTGAACCACATAGGGGGTGGGGCACCCCCACCCCCCACAGTTAGAAATCCACTTATAACTTTTTTTAAGATCTTATTTATTTATTTGACAGAAAGAGATCACAAGTAGGCGGCAGAGAGAGAGGAGGAAGCAGGCTCCCTACTGAGCAGAGAGCCTGATGTGGGATCTCAGGGCTCAGGACCCTGAGATCATGACCTGAACTGAAGGCAGAGACTTTAACCCACTGAGTCACCCAGGCGCCCCCACTTATAACTTTGACCCTCCAAAAGCTTAACTGCTAATAGCCTGCTCTTGACTGGAAGCCTTACTAATAACATGAACAGTTGATTGACACATACTCTGTATGTGATATGTTTTATATATGTATTGTTACAAGAAAGTAAGCTGGAGAAAAGATATTACTAAGAAAATCATGAGGAAGGGAAAATACATTTATAGCACTGGAGTATATTTATAAAAAAAAATTGGTGTTTAAGTGAACCCATGAGTTCAAACCTGTGTTCAGGGGCCAACTGTATTGAGATTTATTTTAAGGAATTGGCTTATAAGGATTAGGATGGCTGTCAAGTTCAATATTTGCAAGGTAGGCCAACAGGCTAAGAGACACAGGGAAAAGCTCATATTGCATTTCAAGTTTGAAGGCATTCTGCTGGGAGAATTCTCTCCTCTTCCCCAGGGAGGTCAGTCTGTTTCTATAAAACCTTTCAACTGATTAGGCGAGGCCAACCCAAGTTATGGAGGGTAAATTACTCAAAGTCTACTAATTTAAATGTTATTCTCATCTAAAAAGTACCTTCCCAGATACATCTAGAATAATTTTGACCAAATATCTAGATGTATAACCTAGCCAATGTGACACAATTAACTATCACTAACATATCAATATATATGTGGGTTTATTTATTTTTTTTAAAGTAGCCTTCATACCCAGTGTGGAGCGCAATGCGGGCTTTTAACTCATGACCCTGAGATCAAGACCTGAACTAAGATCAAGAGTCAGACACTTAACCAACTGAGCCAGCCAGGCACCCCTATATGTGGGTTTTTAAAAGCAAAAGCTCTTTAACATTAAAGTTTTCTAAAATCTACTTTGAAACTCCTTTTTTCCCCACCAAAATACCTCTTTTTAAAATTTCTAAATTGAGGAGATATAGACATGTGTACTTATGAGCCTTTGGAAGGCTAAGGTTGGAGCCTGGTTAACTCAAGAGAAAATTGAGGACTCAAAGATTATAGTATATATCATAGAAATTCCTGAAAGGAATGGGAAAAAAAGTTGATGGGTTTCAAGAAATTGTGCTATTTAATATGGAGAAACAAAAATTGAGAAGACAGGAAGGTTGGTAAAAAAAAAACACTCTTCATCCCAAAGAAGGAATATTACATGGTTGATGATGGTGGGCTGGGTCTCTAAGGATGGAAAATTAATAAATAATGGACTTTTAGATCTTTTGACTATAAAGCTTATTAAAGATATTATACCATTTCCCCCATGGGATTTGAAAGAAGCTCTGAGATAGAATTCTAAATTCATGTTGTGTACAATTGTGTAATGAAGTTCCCAACACTGGAATCATTTAAAAATGCCCAATGAGCCCAGGAAAAGGTAGGAGGCCACTGTGGGCTGGAGACCTCAGGAGGTGGCTTTGTGAAGGAGGTGTGTTAAGAGCTGGAACTTGAAGGAAGGCTCAGAGAACAGAAAGCTTAGAGACAGCAGTGGCTGATTTTTCTTCTTTTTCTCTTGGTAGCTTGAGCACATGTTACCTAACAGATGCTAGCTGTATGGGGCTCTCTTCTTTCTTGCATGTGAGTCAGACTTTAAAAGAGCTGTTTGTGTTTGCCAATGCCCTAGGGGACACAGGAGTATAGCCTCTCTGTGAAGGTCTGCAGCATGCAAAGGCTATTCTCCAGAATCTTGTGTAAGTGTCTGATTATCCTTGTTCTCACAGACCTTGGCACTTGAGGTTCAGTCAGATGCTATGGTTAACAGCCACCCTCGTATCCCCATTCCTTCAGACTTTCTGAGTGTTCCCTTTCTGCAGCTAGCTGTGAGTCCCTCACCCAAGTCCTGAGCTCCACCTGGAGCCTGACAAGGCTGCTTCTAATTAATAACAAAATTGAAGATTTGGGACTGAAATTGCTGTGCAAAGGATTAAAACAGCCTGACTGTCAGTTAAAGGATCTGGTGTAAGTATCATGGACTATAGCCACAGGCAGAATTTCCTGATGTTTCAGCAACTCTTAAAATTAAATGAGTATTTTTTGGGCCTGGTGATTGAATCTCCAAGGAAGCAATAAATGAAGAACCAAATAATAAACGTTCCCCACTCCACAATCTCTGCTTGGTCCTGGTCCAAGGGATTTTTTTCAAACACGATACTCTGAGTTTCTACTGTGTTTTTCTAGCAGGCAAACAGAATTCCTAAAGTAACTCAGTGTAGATGAACTGATGCCAGCCTTCTCTGCTTTACTTCCTGGCAGACCGTGGACCTGCCACCTCACTGGAGAGTGTTGTCAGGATCTGTGCAATGCGCTCTACACCAATGAGTACCTAAGAGACCTTGACCTCAGTGATAAGGCCTTAGGGGATGAGGGCATGCAGGTGCGATGTGAAGGGCTGAAAGTCCCCTCCTGCAAACTGCAGACCTTGTGGTAAGTGCACAGCAACTCTTTGTTCCCCGGGCTCTCATTCCCAGCTCTGTATGAAATGGGGGTTCATTGTGGAACTCGGGGTAAATCTGATTTCTTTCTTGAATCCACAATTCTTCATAGGTTAGCACACTGTCATCTCACAGACATGTGCTGTGGAGCCCTTGCCTCTGTCAACAAAATGAGAACGTAACCTTGCTAGACCTAAGTGGAAACCACCTTAAGGATTTTGGAATGCAAATGCTGTGTCATGCACTGATTCAGCCAATATGTAAACTACAGACATTCTAGTAAGTTACTATGGCAAGTGGGAGGGAGGTGGAAGGGAGGGGGTCAAGAAAGACAGGTTGGGTTTGATCATAGCCCATCGAAGCGAGGAAAGAAGAAAGACTGAGGGCAAGCCATGCCTAGGCAAAATATCAGAATAAGTGAAATGAGCAGTAGGCCTCCTTCTTGGACACAGGGACAGGGCTCAAGGCAGAGAACAGGCAGCACTGGACAGCACTGGATCTCACTGCTACGAGAAGCAGCATGGCATAGGAAAAAGAGTACCAGATCTAGATTCTGTTAGGTCTGGCTTAAATACTGGGTTTAGCATTCACTAGCTACATGACCATGCTTACTTAACCTCCCTGAACTTTAGTATCCATGTCTGTAAAATGGAGCTAATACTGGTATCCAACTATCTGGTGTTAACAGGGGGCTTGAATGAAGTGAAACGTTAATTATAAATGTACCAATTACAACCATTGGCACATAGGTGGTACTCCATAAGTGTTAGATTCTTTCCCTTTTACTCTTCTCATACTTGCCAGGGGTCTTAAATATTTACATTTGAGAGTCTTCAAGACTCAAGGAAATGAAGCTGTAATGATGCAGTTATAGGAAGTGGAGGTCTTGACTCTTTCTGGTCAATGTCCATCTGCCAGCTCAGCAGGCTGGCATGACACACAAAGTCACTCTTAATTAGGATACAGCTATGCTGTGTTGGCAGCTAACCAGTGACCAAATGGCCATTCATTTCTGGCGTTCAGAACTGGAACACATAGTGGAAAATAAAGGCCGAGTGCAAAAATTCCACATTTCAAAGCCAATTTGACGGATTGAAGTGTAAATGAAAACAACATAAAGGCCTGATTACAAATCTGGCTGAAAGAGAAGCTGGTTCTCTACTAGCAAAGTGAAGTGTGTTAGTTTCAAAGGCTTGAAAGCACGGTGATTACTGCCCAGAAAGAGAGAATCATTCACGACATGATGAGCCTCAGAGATTTAGGGACCTCCATTCCATGGTGTCTTTCTCAAAAGAGGTGACTGCAGTCTATGTTGTCAACAGGTTGGAATAAGCTTAATGAACAATCCTAATGTTTCTTCAAGTATTGAGTAATTTAATGTGGTAGCACTCCGTAGTGTGTATGCTTCAGCAAAGGTCTTAAGTGGCAGCGACAAGAAATTATTTTGGGATGGGATGCCATTATTTGCTTTCTATTGTAAATTATTACACTGTTTCCTGTATTTCTTGCTCTTTGCCTTTTAACCAATGTGCTTCCATTCTGTTTTTGGGGCATCCTTCAAACCCTTACAATTTGTCAGCCAACAAGTTGGTAACAATGTGCAGTAATGGCTCAGAATACAAAATAAAGGACATACATGCACACACACTCACAGAATAGACACCATTCACTGACCTCAAATCAATTTTGATTTTTAGAGTATATATAAGATAAACAACACTGTAATTAATGGAAATATATACTTACCAAGCAAGGTGAAAGGAAATTATGGATGATTTAATGTTGTGGTGGGATTGAAGGGGGGTATAATTCCAGGAGAGCCTTCTAAAAGGGGGAGTCTCAGCTGTAAATTACAAAGACTGGAGGAAGAAGGTTATTTTCTAAGAGCTGTTTGGGTGTGGGGCTGAATCTTACTCCTCATTGTATTCTCCCCTGACCCATAAAGTTCCTGGCTTAGCTTTGCATATAGTAAATACATATAGAAGACCAGTTAGTAATTTAGAGCATCTGGAGGCAAGGAAAGGGGACAGTTAATGACATGTTCAATAAAGGTTATGTGTCTAGACATTCAGAAGGTCAAGGAACAAAAGAGGCTGTGGCCTTAGAGTGGCAGAGCTCATCTTCATTCATTCCACAGGTACTTGCTAAATATCTGCTATGTGCTAGGCACATGTGCCGGGTGCTAGGAGACAAGAGTGAATAAGACACAAGACATAATCTATGCTCTTCAGGGGCCAGGGGGCTTAGTGGTAGAGACAGGCACATAAACTGAAGAATATAATAGGGTGATCATGTCGTCTTAAGAGAGTCCGGGCAGGAGACAACTCACCCAGTCCAAGAAGGTCAGGGAAAGCTTCTTGGAGGAAGGACTACCTGAGTTAAGTCTCAGGACTATTGCCTGGAGAAATGGGGATAAGGATAAAGAAGGGTAGCCCATGCTCAGGAGATAGCTTGAACAAGGTAGCCAGACAATAAACTGCATGGTTTATGATAAATGATGGGGAAAGGGATGGGAAGGAATTTGCTCTTGGTGGAGCATAAAGTACAAAACAGAACGTGTCAAGAAGTGAGACTGGGGGGTGGGGTAGGCAAGGCCTTATATGCCATCTGTGGTTAGTAAGGCCTGTTAGCAGAGCTCTGAGTGCAAACTCAGTCATTGCTCTCTTTCTCTCACATACTCTAGTAGTAGTCCATTTTGAGGCCTCTCTTCACCTTTTCAAAACTGGTCACTATGATAGAGCCAGTTTTGCCCCCTGCTTCTCTGTTTCTCACTGCCACAGGGGGCTGATGTTAAGAACTGACCCTAACCAGTCCCACAGAAATTTGGTTACTAGACACTGATATGCTGGCTGATCTGGATCCCTGCTAGCCCTGCAGTGCCATCATACTGGGGCTCTGAGATTACAGATCTATTAATCCACATGCAAACATGCAGCCATTGTTCTCTAAAGTATTGCATGTGTCAGGGTGGTTGGGTCTAGAGGAGCTTCTGGAATCAGCTACGGGTGTATATATATAGGAGACCTGCCCTTGCCCCACAAAGGTGTACGTAGGCCCCTGAGTTGAGTCAGGGTCCCCACTTGAGCCTTTTTCTTTCTTCAAGATAATTTTATTTTATGGGCCTGTTGCCTTTCCCAGGCACTGGACCTTGCATCAATGTCCTTGATGCGTGTTCCTAATTCTAAATTTGGAAAGAAAGGGTTGAGAGTAATTGGTCTCTTAACTCCCAGAAGACCTCTGGGCTTCCTAAGCATATTGACTCACCTCTTCCCAACAGTGAGCTTTGCACATCAAGAGGTAAGACAGCTTTTGCTACATCACTCAAAAAAAAATTCTCAGGGCACCTGGGTGGCTCAGTGGGTTAAGCCGCTGCCTTCGGCTCAGGTCATGATCTCAGGGTCCTGGGATCGAGCCCCACATTGGGCTCTCTGCTCAGCGGGGAGCCTGCTTCCCTCTCTCTCTCTCTGCCTGCCTCTCTGCCTACTTGTGATCTCTCTGTCAAATAAATAAATAAAATCTTAAAAAAAATGTTTAAAAAAATTCTCAAGATCTTGTTACACTTCCATGACATTAAATGTCTACTTACCCAATAATTCTATAATTACCAAGTTTACTCATTTTACTTTACTAGATAAAAATTAGCTTCTATGCACTAAAAACTAAAATCTTTATCTCACTACACACTTGAAAGAGCGTGTACCTTCTTTTGTAGTCAATGGGTTTTAACTGTGGAAATACATGTGAAGCTTGAAGTGCCTGTTGGACACTGTGGGAAGTTTTCTAGTAGCTGGGCAGTTGGATATAGGAGCCTGCCCTGGAGATGATAGCTGAAGCCATGACAATGAATGAGATCCTCTAGGGAGAGTGAGAAGAGAAGAACCTCTGAGGAACATCTCTGGGGAATTAGCCTTGGGCAATACCAACTTTTAAGAGGTGGGTATGCAAAGGAAAGCCCATGGAGTAAACCAGGAGAGAAACGGTGTCCTGGAAGCTATGGGAAAAGTGAGTTTCAATGAAGAATTGCTCAACAGTGTCAAATGCAGCAGAGAGGACCAAAAGGATGAGTGCTTGAAACCTATATCCATTGGATTTAGTCATTAGGAGGCCATAGGTGATTCTGTCGAGGGCTGTTTCAGTGGTGTGGTGGGGCTGGAAACCAGACTGCCATGACTTGAAGAGACTGGAGATGAGGAAGGGGAGAAGGAGCAGAGACTAGAAGTTTGTGAAAAGGGGACACCTGGGAGGCTCAGTTGGCTGAACGTCTGTCTTTGGCTTAGGTCATGATCTCAGGGTCCTAGGATCAGGCTCCCTGCTGTGGGAAGTCTGTTCCCCTTGCTTGTGCTCGCTCACTCACTCTCACAGACAAACAAACAAATAAATGAATTTGTGAAAAGGAGGAGAGATGTGGGGCTGTAGCTGGGAGGATTTGTGGAACTGCAGGAAGGAGGGAGTTGTTCTTTTTCCTTCTTGGCTTTGTTGAGGATAAGGAGATTTATAGGCTGAATGAAAGGAGCCAGCAGAGAGGAAGAGGTTACATATACAGGAGCAGGAACTAATGGGCTAATGCAGGAGGGCCTTGGACAAAGGCAGAGTGGGACAAGAGTGAGAGTCCAAGAGGAAGCGAAGCATTTTCTCAAGGAGAGCAGCCAAGGCTGAGGGAGGAGGTAGCTGGCTGAGCGGGTGAAGTAACTGAGTGGTGCTGGGAGCAAGTAGAATGGGAATCTTATCCTCGAGGACAGGAAAACTAGTGAAGGCATCTGTTGGCTTGACTTGACATGAGACTTTTCATTTTTCATAGCATTGACACAGATAATTTACATGAAGAAACATTCAGAAAGATGGAAGCTTTAAAAATGAACAAGCCTGGGACACCTGGGTGGCTCAGTGGGTTAAGCCTCTGCCTTCGGCTCGGGTCATGATCTCAGGGTCCTGGGATCGAGCCCCGCATTGGGCTCTCTGCTTGGCGGGGATCCTGCTTCCCCCTCTCTCTCTGCCTGCCTCTCTGCCTACTTTTGATCTCTCTCTCTGTCAAGTAAATAACTAAAGTCTTTAAAAAAAAAAAAAAGAACAAGCCTGGAATCACCTGGTAGTTTCCAAGGAGAGCCCCTGAATCAGCTGCATATAGACCCCCGCCCCCCAACCTGGCACCATCTTTAACAGTTGTGCAATATTCTTGTTCAAATCCTGTTAACC